AAAAATTATTTCTTATCAAAGTAATTATTTCCAAATAGCTACAAGTATGAATTACTAAATAAACACATTGAATTATATGTCTCTGTGGTGAAGTGGTAAGCGCATAGGATTTGGTTTCTAATAGTCCGAGGTTCGATTCCTGCCAAAAGCAACGTTTTTTAGTTTTCAAAAAACACGTTGGATTTACATCGGAATGCCGACGTCGCGCGATGTCAGTTTATCCGACATCAAATAACATTTCCATTTCCAACGTAAACCCAACGTCGATCCGACGTCAAGATCCGACGTCGCTCGACGTTCGTTCGACGTCGAAATGCCCACTGGGTTGGAGCACTAAATATATATAAAATCAACTTACACCAAGTTTTAATGTTCATGTATAAAACAATTATAGGATTATCTCCTAAAATATTTCAATCCTATTTTGACAAAATAGTTCATAAATATCCAACAAAATTTTCAAATAACAACTTTGTTGTCCCAAAATATAATTCAAAACTAACTTCATATTCAGTTCTTTATCGTGGACCTTACTTGTAGAAAATGTTTCCCAAGGTTGTAAATACATATAAAACTAGTATAGAACTATTTAAAAATGAATCAAAACAGGCATTCTTACTCATGGATTTTAATATATCTGATTTTAAATGTTTTTTTTAACTAAAACTCAAATACAAAAAGTTATTAATAAAAATATTATGTCACTGAGTGTATCAATATTATTTTTTCATTACCTTAATTATGGTAATAACCTCTATGGCGTTTGCTAATTTGATTACGTTATTTCTATGAAGTATACTAATTTATTTTTGTTATTTCTATGGTATACTTTTTTTTATTTTTTTTTTTTTTTATTTTTTTTTTTTAATCTTAGTTTAAACTTTTAAGTTTTAAGCAAATGATAATATTTTATTAATTTATTTTTTTTCACTTGATCTTACTCTTTCTTTAAATTTTGATTCTTTTTATTGATTCTTTTTATTTTTTCTTTAAATGACAACGAATTTTTATCTCTTTTACTTTTATATTTTTCTTTTTTAATAAATAGTTTGTAAACTATAGATATTTAAATATTACGGTTTTTGTAAGTACGTGAGAATGGGGCTCGGTGATGAGGCTAAATAAGTCTTCTTCTTGCCCCGCCAATATTTATTTTTATTTATATGCTTTGAAATGGTATATTATTAAACGGCTAAATAAACAATAAAAAAAAAAAAAAAAAAAAAAAAAGAACTTATAACTTTAAAAGTTTATTCTTTGTTTCAAACAACATTATTAATTTCAAACTTTAATCAAAGTAAAAAACATCTAAAAAAATAAAATAGATAATCAAATATTATTAAAAACTTCAGGGACTTTTACAAATAGACTAAAACAACAATATAAACGAGCTTTATGAAAAGTGTAGCATTATGAAAAACGTTACAAACAGTCCGTAAAAACGCGCGCAAATTTTAAAATCAATCAACAAAAACTTTTTATTGGTTGATTTTATAATTGCGTTTTTACGGACTATTTAGTAACGTTTTTCGGACTATTAGTAACGTTTTTACGGACGTTTTTACGTGCGTTTTTACGGACTATTAGTAACGTTTTTCGTAATGCTTACTGTTTATATAGTACGTTTTTATTAAGTTGTTTAAGTTCTTTAATAAGTTTTAAATATTATTTAAATATCCACTCTATTTTTCTAGAGGCTTTTCTACTTCAACAAAAATTTGGAATTACTTATGTTGTTTGAACTAAGAATGAATTATAAAAGTTATAAGTGCGTTATAAAAGTAATTACACTATTATAGTGTTATTACTTTTATAATGCAGTTAGTACTAGAGTGTTATTACCTTTTGCAGTCGTAAGTTTATTATTTTATATTTTATAACTTTTACCCTAACAAATTTAAGTTGATTCCCCCCTAGAAAACAAAGTACACGGTTTTGCGTAAACTAAAATTTTGAAGACCTGATATTTTTCCGGATTTTTCAATTCGCGATCGCTTAATTAAACCCTTGCCTCGATAGAAAATTTTTGCTTTTACTTCTTAAACTAGAGCTAGTATGTCATTTTTAATGTCATTTTTGAATTCAGCAGATGGAAATACATAAGAAATAACTAATTTTGGTTCCGATACAAAATCACTGTTGGGCAGTGTAATAGTTTCAACATTATTATTTATATTTGGGATTTTTTGTGGTCTAACAGCAGTAATTTCTAGGGAGCTCGAACTGCTTAATGAAAGTATTTTATTCACTGTAAACTTCCTCTCCTCTTTATCTTTGCTGCATAGTAGTGCGTGTAGAATAGATTCATGATAAACATTTCAGGCAGAGGAGCAAACATAGGGCAAAACTGCGTGTTGAATATTTAAGTTCATTTTTTGGACAAATTCGAGCTGTTTGATTATATGGTATGGTCCGTTGATCTATGTTTTACCAAAACGTTAATAACACATTTTTTAAAAATAATTTGACGAGTATCAAACTGCATATAAACATTTCTTACTTTAATTTCAAACAATGATACAGAATAAACACCAAAACAAAACTGTAAAAATTGTTTTAAGTTCTCAACATCGTTTTTATTTAGTCCATGCTCTGAACACCAAATTCTGCAAAGTCTACTTGTTAAAATCAACCAGCGTGCGTTATTGTGAGGACCAACTTGAATTTCTTTTAAATTTTTGGCCATTATTTTATTTTCAATAGTCTTTGTTATTCGGTACAGATATTTATGATCACTCGTTAAAGTTTTTAAAATATCTTCATCGATATTTATTAAATTAATTTCAGTATCTGTATCTTGAATTGCAGTGGAAATTATGAGATTATTGGCAATAGAAACAAATTTACAAATATTGCCAGAAAACTTGTTATTTGAAGTTGTTTATCCCGTCAATAATTGACATTAGGGGCCTCAAGGATAGTTCATTTGTGTGCAAAGCGCAAACTATCCAAATAAGTTTTGTTTGAAGTTTTTTTTCTAAAAAATGAATGATCCCTCCTTTCCAACCTAAAAAATAATTGTGTTTAAATATATGTATGACATTTATTATTAAATATTTACCTGTATTAATTATCAATCATTTACCTGTATTAAGATTGGTAAAATCACAGCCTACTGCAACTAAAGATGAATCTACCCCATGTGAAATTTTCCATCTTCTTCCATAAAAAAACATTTTGTCTCATCTTTTCTTCCATCAAATAAAATACATTGAAATCCATCTTTTACATGTTATCATTTTCAGATTTTTTTTGTTTAATTCACCTTCTATTTAGATCTTTCAATTTTTTTATGATCTGTCACTATTTCACTGTCAAGCACTTTCTTTTTAAGAAGACCTGCTTTTTTAGCTGCTTTCTGTGTTAATGTTGAAATAGCAGCACTTGCTCAATTTGCTACCTCATATCATATTGATGTTAAAGCAACTTCTTCCATATTCAATGTCTTTTTCGAAACAAGTCTAATGTACTCAAAACTATTGTCAGAAACAACATCTTCATCGTCAGCATTTGCATTATTATCAATTTTTTCTTTGGTTTCATTTTCTTGAGAATGAATAGATAAGTATTCTATTTGTGACTTCTTTTTTCCAGTGGCCTTTTATTATTTTTTTCTTGTCTATTGGTTTCCTTAAAACCCAAAGCACCTATTTGCATACTACTTTTTGTT